TTTGTGGTGAAAGTGGAGTTTTCACGAGTAGTAGGCTAGGTGAGTTGGGAGCGCATGGGAGAAAAATTCGCCGTTTCAGCGCGCGTACAGGGGGGGGGCCAAAAAAAGACATTTTGCCTATGTCGGACTTCGGCTCTTTTTTCTTCGCAGAGATTGCTGTCGTTGACGGGAGTTCCTCAGCAGAGTATTCCCTAAGTGTCCCTCTATAAGTGAACGCAGGCTCTCCTTCACTGCCCTCACCGTCTTCAGAATATGACGTCATCTGTCACCGTCGTCAGGCTCAAGGAGGTCTACCGTAAGAGCTTCAGCCTGAAGCTCTTACGCAATTTCGTGAATCGATTTAATGTTGGATACTTTTCTAGAGGCGTTAGCTCCCACTATACAAATCCCCTCGAACGAGCTTTCCAGTAAAGGTCGTTATGGTACACGATCCTTCGAAGACCCCATTGAGATCGACCAGTGCACCATGTTTCCAGGGCAATTCTTCTGATGCCGTCCACGTAGGTGGCCACCATGAAGATTTTCTTATAGAATGGAATGCGCTCTTTAATAATAAGTTGGACCATTCGGTCTGAATTGAGCAAAATGTGTGCTTAAATCCATCTGGAAGTGGAGACAAAATGTCTTTTTTTTATTGGCCCCCCCTGTATATCGCCCTTCTCCTCCCCCCCCCGCTCGACGGCATTTTGGGAGGAAAAAGTGGGCGGAGTTTGGTGGGTTGAGTGGTACCAGAATTAAATACTATAGAGGAATATGGTGGTCGAGGGTCGAAAAGGGGGTCGTACCAAATCCACCTTGGGGGAGGGGGGTCGTAAAAAATTTTTGAAAAAGTAACAACGATAGGACTGACCCTGGTCGGTGGTGTGTCTCACCGATAGCGCTGCGAGAGGACAATGCTACATCGTCGAGGCAAATCCTTCGCTGCGAATTGCGTGTCGGTCAAACTCTTAGGTGTCCTCTTGTCTGTTTCACCCCGGTTTATTTCCCCCTTTCTTCGACCTGCCGTATCGTGGAATCCTCCTTAAGCCTTCGGCTTCAGCGCTAGCGTAGCCTCATCCATCGAAGTTGTAGTTGTCCCATCATGCCAAGTGTCTAGGCCACTGAAAAAATTTGCGCAGTGTTTTCTATCAAAACAGTCAGTGAGACGCACTGAAAAAACGAATTTGCAAGGCGAAAAGCTGATACGGCGCGGGGCTGCGAATGAGTAGGGAGGTGTTTTGGGGATCCATTCACGGCAGGGTGTTGATGCATATGGTTCCTGATCGACTACCTTGTAAGAGAACAGTGTGGCATGTCAGACTTTAACCCCATTCGCGACCGCGCAGGATTGCGCAATAGCAGCAGCGTCAGGAGATTTTTCTTCAATAAAATTCGAGTGGAGGGAGATTTCCTCTGCCCAGGGCTGGCGTAGATGAGCGAGGGTATGAAGATTCTTTTCATGGAAGAAAACTTTCCAAATTCCATTTCAAGCCCTGCAGCCACAGTAATGCCATTGTCCCGAGTGAGAGCTTTGTCAGCCACCGGTGGCTGACATTGTCACGAATGGGTTAAGCGATTCCACTACATCCAATAATACCGTCTATATATCTGCCCAGTCTTTCAAATTTAATAGAGCTTTCATTTCCGTTTAGGCGTTGCTCAACCTTCCATTCATTTCACTATTTTATATTCGTGATTTAAAGGGCTCAAACACTCTTCAAATTAGCTTAACCTTCTTATTTCGATAAGAACTCGCTTTTGATCGCTCATTTGTCACTTGTTTATTCTGTCGAAATAGCGATGAACAGAATTCATGCATCTACGTCAGTCAACTCATAAATTATCGCCCGCTATGTCGGTGTAATTATGACCTGTTAGCCTAGGCGATTATAGTGATTATGCGTGTAGGAGGTACGTGACGAGCTTAAGCTGAAACCCACGAATTAACAACGTAGGCGGTCGTAGAGGCGATCGGTAAAAGTCGCTTCAGTACTGATCGCAGTAATCCGATGCGCCCGAAGATTCGCCTGACGACATGCATCAGTTGTGGACTGCAGGTAAGCACATAAAAATCCATGAAGCCGTTCGGACAGTTCAGGCTGCTGGTTGATTCCTTTGGGTTACGCATGTAATCGGATGTCCCTCAAAATCTTTGAGACGTATTGACGAGGTTTCTGACATATGATTCATTTGACGCTGACCATTTGGGGCCGGGTGGCGCCACAACTGATTCCCACTAAATTCGCTGTAAACTTCTGTATAGGGGTTATTCGGGGTCCTGATTTGTTGTTAGCGCTATTCGGCGCCTGCTTCCTGCTCGTCTGCGCCCTCGCACTAATTAGATCGCAATAGGACTAAGCCTTTGAGTAGTGTAGGGCTCCAAAGTGGGTAGGCCATTCCCCTGTGGTCTGACACACTCCAACTTTTGCCACACGGTGCGTGGTTTACCCACTCCGGAGTTTCACTCCCCTCCCCTAAGCTTAGTCGTAGGCGCTTCAGACATACTTCAAGCCTCTGCAGGAGCTATAGTCGATGTTTGAAATATTCTGCAGTGAAGCGATTTTGATTGAATGGAATGCTTTAATTCTTGGGTTCGAGCGAAAGTCAATCTAATTCGCGGGACCCAGAGATATGCCGCATCTAGCGGCTGCGCTACCTCTGTTCCACCTCAACATCAGCAAGGAACATTGTAGCTTAAGTTCGGTTTATTCCGCACTTTGCGTCAGGCGGAATCCTTGGAAATAAATGTGGACCATGTGTTGGTGTGTGTTCCCTCTCACTGATCTTATTGATATTATTTGATCTTATCATCCCCCACCGCCTGCAAAATCCAGAAAATTTATGGCGAGTTATTCATTTTTCTTTTCACTCTTTACTTTCCACATTACCTGCAGTAAAAGTACGCGCCGCCAAACTGTCCATCGTGTTTCATTGCGGTGCGTGTGCAAAGCATTGTAGAGGGATGAAGGGGTAAATGTTCGTGATCCGGTGGGACGTGACCGTTCATTGAGTGGATGACTTTACTCTCATAGAATTATGTGTTCTGTTCTACCACAAGGTGAATATTTGTGATGGCCGAAGTCGAGGTTGAGTAGGGACCATACTTGGTTTTAAGGATCACTATTAAGGTAATGCCCAATCTCATACCGGGCAGTAGGGTCTCCGAGATGCGTGAGCAGTTCTTGTTTTCCCCGGAGTTTCTCCTGAGTTTAATGCTTACCGTGACTCGCATATCATGCTAAAATACAACTTAACTTCCACCGAACTAATTTTTCATTTCCTCATGCACACGAACCCGACTTGGTTAGTTGGTGCTTATGCTTGGTGCGTAGAAGCTTATCTCCAACAGGGAGAGATGATGAGGGGGTCCCTTCTTCTTGCTGGTTTTGACATAGATTACAACTATATAATATTTTTATTTTATGACTAGTCGGCGCTGCCAATCCAGTTTCATAGTTAGCGCATATTGCAATTGGTGTCGTTATCACTTTGTTAACACCACGTTTTTTCCGTAGTCGTTCGCAAGCGAAAGTTATCACGAATATGTCGAGTTATGGTTACCGGTAGCAATAAGCGCCCAGGCAGCGAGAGGTGCTGTTTAAATCTCGTCTGGGGCGAAGTGTTTTGCCCTATAATTTCCATTTGGTTCCAGATGACGTTTGGCTCATAGTTTTTCCATGAATGAGATCAGATGGTCAAGGAATTGTGTGCGTGTTTGCTGGGGAGGGGGCTTGGCAAAAAAGTAAATTCCTTAGTTCTTAATGTATGCTATACGAAGTTCTCTACGGACTCTCAATTAATTCTCCAACTTCTCTCTTCTTGTAACCTCGGCATGTCAGTTGTAAGTTTAACAAATTTTCTTGTGCCTTACGAGGTTGTTCGGTGGAACCTTTATTAATGGCCTAACGTTTCGACTGAATCGTCGTCTTCAGAGGCCGTCGGTTCCACCCTTCGAGCGGAAAAGTCCGCTGCCACACAGAGCGCTGATCAGTTAGAACTCTAAAGTTAAGAAGTGTGAGATAGTCTTTTGGTAAAAGCGGAAAAGTCCGCTGCCAACAGAGCGCTGATCACTTAAAACTCTAAAGTTAAAATCTCAATATAATCTTTTGTTGAAGAACCTATTTTTGTTGACTTATTCTATCTGATTTTTTGTGAGGCCCACTGCCGGGCAGCTAGCAAATTTGTCAGACTGATTTATAAATGAAATTTCACGTTATTTAGTTCTTGCCAGCGATGCGTTTTTCAGGTCTTGCAAATCTACCGAACACAAAAAATTAAAGCAGTTAGGCTTGAAGATCCCCAACTAATCACATGTGTTCATTTACATGTTCGCTTTGCTCGAAATGCGCCTTACAGCGCTAATTTCCATACTGTTTGATACATAGATTCAAAGGCATATTTCACTTCCAATTTTGTGGTTATTCCGCTGAAATAGGAATTAAATGGGCGAAGAGGATCGGCAGTCAAGGAAAATGAATGAGAAGTCACCGGGAACACTGAAAATTAGGGCCTCTTCGTTTAGGACGTGGAGGATTCAAACAGGCAGACCGCGAGATGAGAGATACTGGAAGCTGAAGGGAGGGTGAAGAATCGGAGGCAAAAGAGCATAGATACGAACGAGAGCGATTGTAGCCTATGACGCTAATTCCTGGGCGAGAAATCGGGTGCGTGGAGCATTCCCGAGTTTTGACACCATCGCCTGGAGGTTTCGGGTGACGAAGTCGGTACATTATGTGCGGTTGCAGTCCGATATACCTTCCTCAGGGTGGGCTTCACTGGAGTGACCTGATTGCGCCTTTGACTAGTTTTCTTGGCAAAGTCGCAAGGTACTGTACGTTATCAATGAAGATCCATCCATTTAATTGGCTGACTACTGCACAGGGGCATATTGCCAAAAAGACCTCTTCGAATGGTCTTGTAAATCTAATATTTAGCTTTTTCATGAATTTTTTAGTAAACAGGTGTTGTGCTCAGTTTTTTATGCTGATCATTCGATACTGTCCTGAATTTCGATTGTTCAGCATTATTCAACTGGGGCGACGAACGTCACCTATCAGCAGCACAAGACTGGTCGTGAAGAAAGAGCCGCTGTTCTGGGAAAACATGACGGATTTCGTGGATGCACAATTTGGTTCACCGGTCTGTCCGGAGCTGGAAAGACGACGATTGCGTTTGCCGTCGAGAAGATTCTGACGCAGGTAGGTTTTAGCTAGCAGGAAAAACAAACCTATGAGATAATTTTGTGATGGAATCTCATCGAATTTCATTCCTCACAGACGGAATCAGACGCATAGTGCCAGGCGTTTCGGAGGACTTCCTTTGAAGGGAATCCCATG